CTTCATCGACAATTGCGATGGATCATTAACAAATGTTTTCGACGACGACTTTCAGAATTTTCAAATTGTTTCGCATGGTGACACAAAATTACACGGAAAGATCATAATTTTCAACGCATTTCTCGGTCGAATTTGTTGAACAACTAACTTGTACAATGGACTCAGCACCATTTTCCGTGCTCCCACGAACACGACCATTCGTCTCAACACGTCCGTTTCTTGCCCTTGCCATCAAATCCGATAGCAATGGTATGGTGCCGATATGTATGGGCAGAACCGCTGATACCGTACTATCAGCCTTGAAAATTTGACTTTTGAGAAGAGAGAGCATCAAAAACTGATTGAAATCGGTTGATAATTAATTCAACAAAAAAAAATTTTCAAAATCATATTCTACACTGTTCACTGCTACTCTAATTATTTTACTCAACTGAATAGTGAAGACAGTTAAGCAATTGAAAATGCAAATCAAATGAAAAAGATGATTCCGCGCAGTGAATTTGCTCTTTTGTAAACTTTTGCAATGATCACACCGTTCTGGAAGGGGAAAAGGAAACCAAACATTTTATACTAAACACACAAATTGTGTCAGCTATCTCAATCGAGAAACAAAACACTTACAGCAAAATACATGCAAATGGAGTAGCTATGTTCAAAATGCAAAATGAATTAAAGTGAGAATGAAAAATGCATAGAAGTAACCTGTAATTCAAGTGTGTAAATGATTTCGATGATTTTACATCTGGATAACCTCGGTGGTATCGACGGTAGAACGACTGTTTCGCCATCCCATTCGAACGTACTGTTTGGAGAAATTTCACCTTTTTCCTTCTTAACGATTACGCTATTCGATGTCTTCACATGTTCACTTCCAGCGAACGTTTTAGCTCTGAATCGGTTGAGATCGATTAGTTTTTGCATTGCAGCATTTCAGAAAGCTCTTTTAGCTTAGCTTCAAGTATTGACGTCTCCAAAGACCGTCAATGCTATACTCTCATTTCAGTGCACTTTTACGATAGCCTATTGACTCGTGAGATTAGACACAATGAAGGAAATGGAAATTGTTCAACGAGAGACAACAGCTGAAAGCACTTACAATTAGTAACGAATAGAGTCTTGTATATAATTCAAGATGGATGTCATAAAAAGGGATCGCCGACTGCGAATTGAACAATCATCACCTGTAATTAACGTGTTGACGCAACCTCAGACACG